CCCCTCCGTATTTGCTTTCTCTTAGAGGCGGAAGTAGCCGGAAGCTATTTTGATGCCTGTGAAGTGCAACGCGATAAATCTATCACAGCGTCATGTGGCGCTTCCAAATGTCTCATCGATGGATACAAGCTTATTGATATAGACCTGTCATGTAGAAAGCTTGTTCTCTCTTGATCGGTATCCAGAACATAGCACGAACGGTCGCCAATGCACACCGTATTCCCGGAAAGTACTGGTCGAAGCCGGTGGCGTTTGTTGCATATGTGAGAAATGCACCAAAGCATAGAATACCATGTGGATGAGCTCTGAAAATTTTACTTTTCTGATGTGATGAATTCTCTGTTTAGAATTCGACTTCTGTTTAACATTCGATGCAGGGCCAAAAGTTAGCAATAAATCTACCTCATAAAAAATTCAAAATCTGCTCTGTATTAGCTCCCTATGAGAGGAGAATTACTGAAAAATCATCTGAGGGTAGCAAATTCCAAAAACTAAACTTCCTGGATTTCGAGTTTACAATTCGTTCCTTCTGCTTTAAAAAAAATTTTGGTGAATCTGATATTAATAGCCGCAGTATTATAGTAAAATGCTATTTAAAGATGGCTGCGGGTAGTTCAACCCCCACAGTGTACAATTCTCATTTCGTAATTTTTATTGTTGTCTAGCTATAACAATAAGTTGGATTGGCCTGAGGTCATAGACCAAAGGAAATGAACTTTTGAAGACAACTTAAGACCAAATACACGTATACAGTTAGGAGCTGCATCCAATGACTCTCATTCCTAGCTTGTGCATTTTCAAAGCGGGATTATTAGAACAAATAACGGGATTCATTCTTGTTATACTACGTTATTTAATTAGCTTAAAAACGCTTAAAATATACAAATCATGGAAAAAGGTTCTTTTTTCAGCTAACATTTTGGCCTTATTCTGATTGCGCGCACCAGGGGAAATTAACTGCAAAGGAGCAGTTCTATCACGTAAAGTATGAGATATGACAGGTCAGTAGATTTATCACGTGGACAACGAAACGTGCTATTTCATCAAAATACGTATTTCCTTTCAATTATTTCTTTTACTCACTCATTTACAGTTTTATGGTATGCTACTGGATGTGGAAACCCCAAGACCAAGGTCGATGGTATACAGTTATCGGGTTTCAAGTACACACAGAAACTCACACTTACAAATATAATCCTCTAAGTCAGGGGATATTGTCCAAAACTTTTATACAAGACAGAATTCCCACAAAGTTTAAATAACACATTTAAACAATTTACAAAATTCAAATAACAGTTTGTTTTCGAGCTTTTCCAACGTAAGAATTCAGCATTTTGACATCACATATTATATTTGTTCTTTACAAGCAATAAAAAAATATGGAAATGTTTACGTACCCTATGATGTAATTGTGATTTGCTGGCAGATCAGCTGTTTTGATAAGCTTTACGGGGAAGTAGCTCGCCATATAACGGTATAATCGCCAGTTACGAGCATCCACGTTTATACGTCCACCTCTTTCCGGTGTGCGGTAATCGATATAGAACCACACTAAGTAGAGCCATGCGAACAGACTAAAATTGAACAGTTTGTTTTGGTGGGGTTGCATTAGCAATGTATCATAGACTTAACTTCTGGGAAACAGAGAGAAGCCTGTAGAATGAATCGACTTTACGGGTGTATAAAGTTTTTTCAGGTACCACGGCACAAGCCGGAGTGCAGATTCAGAGGTAGGGAGGAGTATCCCCAACAAAAACTAGTAAATTCACGTTTCTTTGGGGGTGTCCAGTACACTTTTCTTACCGTATTTTTTGCAAAATACGAAAAGTTAGCATTTTGATATTACTGCCGAACTCGTCCTTCGTGACCCTGAACAGGAATCATTATGAATTCCATCAGCTAGACTAGATCGCAAATCTGATATCTCATGCCGAATTTTCTTGACATTCCCACCGCTCCCTCCGCAACTAGCATGTGTCGTATACGCTGGCGTTGTCGGCTATTAGATACCCACGTAATTCGGACAAACTGGCCCTTATTCCTATTTATAATATTTACAGGGTGAATCTCACCTATCTGATCTCAACCAAATTATTAATGCTTCATATACGGTGCAGGTTTCAGTCATTAATATTCCCGATGTACCTCACTATTAACTGATAACTATTCTTTGCTCTTTTGATAATGTTTAAAATTGCACTTTTTGAAAAACTTTTACAATTTTGCTTAAATATAAGTTGATATTTAATATCAAATAAATAATGATCAGCACGGCTTCTGCTGTTCTTTACTGTGTCAGCATCCCTAATAGCAACAACTACATGATTCTCGGGAGAGAAATTCAAATAAAAGGAAATTTAATTTAATTGAAATGACAATAAGCTTGGAGTTTTAAACGGCTTATTATGGTCGCTACTTAAACTGACCCATATGTTCATCACTTAAACTGATCCATTTTCATTCTTTATAATGCGTTTTTGCTGTGCAGCGCTATAGCAGCGCTATAGCGCTGCTACAACCAACAAAAACGCATATTGTCGAGAGGCTGTGTGTGTGTGCGTGTGTGTGTGTGCGGAAAGCGAGTGCATTTTGTCACCCACTTTCATCTCAGCAACCAGGAAAGCT